TGAAGATGGTGAAGATGCAGAATATGCAGATAAAGGCGAATATTAGTATGGGAATGAACAAGATGAATATTAATATATGATGATACTTAAAAGAACAATATGTTAAAACTTAGGAATTATTAATATCAGAAGAAAATATTCTTTCCAAAATAATAATGATGATGATGATGATGAACATGATGATGAGAATAAAAATCCATAGATATAAAAAATCAGATCAATAGAAATCCAATAGGGATTTGTAATAAAAGAAAAAACATAACAAAATAATAATCTTGATAACGTTGATAACATTAAATCAATATTGAACGAATACAAATGATAAAGTTGATGAAGAGGTATATTTGATTATCTTTGATATGTAACATATTAATATATATATTATATCTAATATATAATTGTGGATCTACCTACGAAATAAAAAGTTTGTACATAGACAACGATTAAAAATGGTGATATTTATAGATAAAAGAATACTGAAAAAATTTCATTTTCATCGATCGAAAATGATTATCCAAATAAATCGACTTCAGCATCATGGCTGTCTCCTAGAATATATTGAAATTTATTAGGAATCATTCTTGAAAAACGTGCATCTCAAGAGTTAGATGTTCGGTATCGTTTATTATTTATTTCGAATTAAGAATCATTCTATTCCTCAAGAAGAATGAGAATCAACAAACATGAGTCAATAAAATTTGTAGAAAAATATTCAATTAGAGACTAAGTGAAATGAGAGAACCTTCTTCATCATGCAACAACATTGGATATTACAGAAAAAAGATTTGAGATAATAGATAAAGAAAACAAAGAAAAATTTCAGAAAAGAGAAAGCGAATTAGTAAACAAGAATCCATGCCTAAAGAAAGAGGAGAGGTGATAATACAATGGCAGATATTGAAGAAACTTGGGATGGAGAAAGAATTATACTAAGCATAATGTAAGTCAGTTTCTTTTTAATTAAATTTATTATATTAAATATTTATTATTTAGTTAATACAATTTCAACGAATAATTATTTATTTTAAAAAAATAGAAAATCAAAAGTTAATAGATATTTAATTTGATTGATTTAACTATTTTTGATTAATCGATCTCAACGAAATAATTTTTTAAAAAATAAAGCGAAAGATCAGTTCTGTCATAGTTAAAAATTGTGGAACCTTTATATTTGCACGGTTACAGAAATTTGTGGTTTTGAATGCATAATATATCATTATTGATAATTAATTTTTTATGGCAATATAATTGACCGATTTTACGTTTTAATTAATAAAATAAAATAAAAACCATCACAAATAATAATTTTATGTCAGATTATTATAAAATTTAATAATTTAATTTTACATTAGTTGATGGCTTCTAATTGCTGAAGCGAATTTTCGAATATCGGTTATCTTAATATACTTCATGACTTAAATATTTAGTGATTTTATTGTTGTGCTATTTTATTGACATAATTCAAAAAAAGAAGATGTAAAGAGCAAGGAAAGTCACCACTTGGTTTGCTAACGATGCAATGTCTGACCATTTTAGTTGCTTTTAATGTCACTTGTGGAATATGAAATTTCTTAATATTTATTAGTAAATCAGATCAATTATATAGCGCAAAACTAATTCGATATATTCAAATAGACAAAATTTATATCTTTTGAAAATTACTTATAATAATAATATTTATCAAATACTATTAAACAATAAACTCTCAAAATGTAATTGTATAATCAACAGTTAAAAATTCTAAATAAAAATTAATTTAATAAATTAATTTAAATCAACCATTTTATTTTTTTTAATTAACAGGAACAAATATTTAAAGGATCAAATTTTCCCATTTTTTTTTTCAGAATCCTTTTGATTTAGTTTCTTTGGCAATTCCAGGATTTTATAATAATTTATTAAAATAGCCGTTCCTATCTACCTGTACTATGAATATTTTCTTATATGGGAAGATTTATGCGCTGGAAGTAAGGTAGATGTGTGGAAATATGAACTTGTGCTCAGTATTAACAATGATATCGTTGCTAATAATATTTCAGATTCTTTTATTTCCATAGGTATAGGTACAGGTCTTATTAAGAATTCGAAAGACCTGTGTCCAATATCAGGCTCACAGATCAGTTGATTTTTTAGATTCATCGTAGAGATAAGGATATAAGGGTAACATAAACTATTGAATGAACTTTAAATGGTTGCATTCTCCAACTTCGTATTTGAAAGAAGAAACAGAGGTATAATAAAAGTTATAAATGTTAAAAGAAAAGGTGTAGGTGTAACCAGGGTTGGGAAAAATAGATTAGTACAGTTAGTACATTATAATGATTAATATAAAATTTAGTACAAGTGCAACATAGTACATACTTGAACAAATTTATCAACCCTGGGTGTATCCATTGTTTATTTGTCATACAGGCAATCACATAAATAAATTTAATAAACCTAATTTTGTTAAAATCTTATTTTAGTAGTTACTACCAAGTTGGAATTAAATAAATATAAGTTTATTTACAAAATATTACATATTATTATTTAATTTAGCAAAAAATCTTATTGCTGTATGTTTCTTTTCAACAAAGAGATCAGCCAATTTTTGGTAATACATAATCAAAGCAAATCTTGGTGCGTCCGTTCTTTATTATTAAATAAGGGTCATAAAATATTCGAGTGAACATACTGTAACTCTTTAACCTGAATTCTGGCCTTTTATTGATAAGCATGTTTATTGTATTGGGCAGAAATTGTATCTGATGATTGTGATTGCGAACAAACAATGATGAAGGTGCAGAAGGTGATGATGGAAATGAGCATGGGAGTGAGCAAGGTAAATATAAATATGCTTTAAAAAACAACCTATTAATACATAGAAATATTTCCCAAAATAATAATAGTAATATTGATGATGAACGTGATGATGGAAATAAAAAATCAATAGATATGAAAAATAGAAATCCAATAGAAATATACAATAACAGCAACAGCAATTAACAATAAATAATATTGATGACGTTGATAACAATAAGGTGAGGTGATTATGAAGACGATGATTAAAGTGAAGATGAAATCTTGTATGCGAATGTTTTCTGATATGAATGATGCCGTTGCTAACAATATTTTCGTTTCTTCCAGTTCTACGCATCCAAAAGTGGCCAAAAGGAGTGTGATTTAATTATAGAGATTTTTACTTATATGGTGAAGTGTCTGATTTCACTTTAGATAATTGAAATTAATGTAATACTGATGTCAATGGTAATTATTATGAAAAATCCACAAGTACATCTTAAAATAAATAAGTATTAATTATAAATTTTCTTAATCTTTATCAAATTTCCAAGCATTTTCTTAATTGCTTTAATATATGCATATTATTTAAAGCCGTCAATATTATTATTAAACGATTGCTTCATTAAAATTTTTTTTCTTAATGCTCTACTAGTCGATCAGGATTTTCTTTTCTACTCATATTTGCTGAATACTTAAATCCTTTGTTATGAAAAGTATTCAATGGTCAAATAATGTACGTATTTGCTGTAGATCTAAAAGGTGGTTCTCTGTTGCAACAAAAACTTGTAATTCATGATGTAAATACATTGATAAGCAGCTTTCAAAAAATTATTATTATTAATCAGCTTACTATATATATTGAATCCAGATAAAATATAAAACTTATAATACTTTTAGTTAAAATATATTGAATACGTTTTGTTAAATACTCGAATATTTTTTCTCAAAAAATTTCATTATCGTCTATTATTAAATATAGACCAATTTTTTTTTTGCTTCCATCCACATCCATACATAAATTAAATTGAAAAATTCGGATGCATCAAAATTCTATTCTTAATCATGTAAAAATTGCAAGCGAGCTATTTATAATATAAAGAAAAATATTAATTTCATTAGTTTCAGAATATTGCCAATTAGGATTTTGAATTCCAACATATTGGATTGCAACCACCGGCTCTTATCTTTAACTTTCCCAACAACGGACGTTTTTCCTTAAACCGGATTTTCGGCGAATATTGATGCTACGGAGATGAAAAACGTATCATCTTGTAGCTCTAAACAGAGCTCTTCTGTATATAATAGAAGTACCTTAGAAGAAAATTGCTCATTGTCACGTAAATCGCGAGTGACGCGACGTTATAAGAATAAAATCCCGCTACAACGAAATGAAAATACTAATAAATCAAAATATACTTCATACATCTTAATAAAAATATTTATCTGATTTATACATTAATAATAATAATAATAACAAAATTCCATTTAAGATTAATAATTTTCATAAAAAATTTAATTTTCCGATGAGATGAATTAAATGATGCTTTAGTTGCATTGACCTATAAATAATAAATATCCAAAAACTATCCATCTCTATCAAATTTTGTATAGAATGTTAAAATGACGTCAATAAAGTGTTAATAATATCAAGTATTATAATAAGATGCATTCACAGTAATAAATATAAAAAGAAAAAGTTTGAACACTTGAGGTATAATTATTTTTATAAGGTTAGTAATAGTAAATATTATAATCATAAAATAATAGGTACAATAATTGAATCTATTGAGATAATGAAAGGAATATTTCATTTTGAGCGAATAATATAATTATATCCAAAAATGTTAATAGATGTGCAAAAAGATGAATGTATAATCAAAATTTTTTTTAACATAATTAGAATTCAGGTTTAGGGGAATTTTTATTTAAGTCATATTACTATTGTTAAAATAATAATTTTATTAAATTTCAAGTAAAAAATAGAAAAGTATGAATTTACAATTTGAATAAATTTGTTTAATCTCTACTTTTTTTAATATTCACTTAATTCTTCTTCATTAATTTTTTTCAATATCTTACTAAAGAATGATCAATATTATCCTTATTCTAATTCCATAGTTGCTAAATCACCAATATTCTTCTTTTTGGAGATTTCCTTAATGATCTTTCTTTTTCCATCTTAGGATTTGCAGCAGGTGTTTTCCTTTTTCTTACAGATTTTACTTTTGAACCGTTTCACGAGAAGGCTGAAACAAAGATTGAATATCAGGTACATTTTCGGGAAGGGAAAGTGTGAATTGACTATTGGATATACTCTCAGAAGGAGGAGGTATAGATTGTGGGATTTGTTGTTTAAATGATGCATAGGATTTGTTCTGAGACCTGAAATTTTGATAAGGAGCGTGATAAATTGAGATTTTGTTTGCATTTTTTTCATCTTCATCAGTAAAACTCTTTTTATTCTTGTTGATATTATAGGAATGAAGTGTTGTAGATGGATTTCTTGTTCTCTTTGAGATCTAAAGATCAGTAAGATCCGGAGTTTCATTTACTTTATTTACATTGCTTATTTACTTATTAAAATAAAAAGCTTTATATGTGGTAACATTCATGAACTAATTCCGATTAGATCCTTATATTTGTAAAAAAAAGAATGATAAAGGAAATTTTATATCGCGTAGCGTTATATTATGCTATTTCATGTTTATTTGACATTATAAAAAGTTTATTGTTTATTATTTTTATCTAATGTAAAAAATTTTTTTTTAATTCTATATTTACAAATTTGAAACAATATGTATTATTATGAAAAGAAATTAATAGTCATATGTTATGCAATGCAATACCAATTATTAATGTCTTTTCTTAAAAAAAATTTTTTTTTTAATTAAATAAATCCTTTTTCGAAAAACTACAAACTTTTTTTTTATTTAAATTAAAAAAATTACGTTTATTTTTTTTTTGCAAATAATAAAAATTACAAATTCAAAAATTCAATTCAATATGCAATTCAAAAACATATAAAAAATTCAAAATCAAATAAAAAACTAAAAATTTCGAAATCAAAAAATTCAAAATCAAATAAAAAACTAAAAATTTCGAAATCAAAAAATTCAAAATCAAAAAAGTTCAAAATCAAAAAAAAGAAAAGTTTTTTATATGCTTTTTTTTTGAAATTCAAATCAACAAAAAAAAATTCAGAAATAAGTTTTTTACTTTTTTTTTAAAAAAAAAATAAAAACCCACAAAATTCAAAATCAAAAAAAAATCAAAATCAAAATTAAATACGCAGTTTCTTTTTTCCCAAAGAGGACGATTTGCCTCAAAAAATTATTTATTAATAAACTTTATAAAGTTCATTAATTAATATTTTAATAATCAAATTATTTATCTCTTTTTAATTTGAAAAACTTCATAATCATCTATAGAAAATTCACCAGTTGTCTTTCTAATTCGTTTTTCGTAACTATTATCATAAATATAAAATGATTGACTACTATTCATATGTAAATCACCGTTAAAATTTGGACCATATATAGGATTATTATAAATAGCTTCACCTGGAAGGTTTACACGACTAAGAATATAATCTTTGATGTTTCTATTTTTTAAAGAAAAAATAAAACTGTCATTAGTTTCAGAAGGTCTATTATAAAAACCTGAATTCCAACCAACAGGATTGTAACCACCAACAATCTCATCTGTATCTTTAACTTTCGCAACAACAACAAGATTTATTTTCTGATCACATAAATTCCAAAATACATCTTTTTCAAATCCATCTCTGCTTCCACGAAGAATAAGGTCGAAGTCATATGGATTATTATTAACCTCATATGCTACTTTCTTATCAATCCAAGATGCAATTTCAAATGCTTGTTCAATATCAATAATTGATGAGTTAATTTGAAATATTTTACGAGGTGGTAAAATTTTCGTGGTGATAGCTTTGTTTGGAGCCATGGAATATCTTAAAATATCAGCCCATAATTTTTTGTCAAGAATTGGTTGATATGGAAATACTTTTTCCATAATATTTTCACTGGAAATTTGAAAATATCGAATATGAGGTAAACATTGTTGTAAAGTATTTTTTAGAATTTGAAAATCATTATCAATCCAATCATCAAGGTTTGAAGGTAAAGTTTTATTTTGAGAAATTCCCCATTGAATTACGTAATCCCAAATTTTGGATTCTTCGAGTTGCAATTCATCTCTTTGAATAATAGATGCTAAAGCCGCTTCTTGAAGAGTATTAAAATCATTTGATTCAAAAATCAAGTTAGGATATTTTGCGATTATATCGTTGTAATAATTTTGAAGTGCTTTAAAATGAGTTCGAAAACTTAAATTATAAATTTTTGAAAAATTTAATTTTAACCAGGAAGATTGATTTTCAATAAGAAAATTTTGAAGCCTTGTTGTCAATTCTTCAAGTTGAAATTCATTTGCAGTTATTAATAGATCAATAATTACGGAGGTTTCAACTTTTTCAAGATTGACTGTTGCTCCATAAATATACCTATTAAATATTTGTTTTTACATTAATATCTTAAGATCATATTAATATTAAATTATGTTTATTATGTGCACTTACTTTATAATAATGCCAAAAATTATAGCAGAAATTTGTGGTTTCCGAATAATTCTAATATTATCATCGTTATTAATAGTTGATTTTTTAAATTCATCATAGAGATAAGGACATCGGTAACACAAAACTGTTGAATGAACTTTAAAAGGTTGTTTTATTGAAGATTCTCCAACTTCAATAATGATATTATTTTCATCTCCATTTTCTAAAAGTTTAATAAAATCACTTGATAAATTTTCATAAAAATTTAATGCCATGTTTGAAATAAGTACATAAATACGGACAGAAATAAGTACAGAAACAAGAAAAATTTTTATCCGTATTTCTCCTAATTCCCATTGTTTCCCAATTTGGGACTGAGATGTTGATCCATCCAAATAAAATCTACGCCACAAACAATTTTATTATTAATGAACAATCTCGGAAAGAAAATAAAAAGTTGTTAAGTAAGTTCATTAATCATCAGCTTAATGATGTTATTTAAAATCTTCTACTTCTACTGAAATGATAATTCTAGTTTCACAAAGTGAAAGATAAAAAGCAAAGAATCCTTGGGTAGGAATTTATTCAAATAATTTTAAAAATGCAACATTTATTTTAATTCACTCGTTTCGCTCATTTTTATCTTTTTTAAATTGTTTATTAATTTTTGTCTATTTATTAAATCATTAGATATCCAGATATTAATAGTAGAAATTATATGTGAATATTAAAGATAACAATTAGTGATATCACAAATATTAATAAAAATATTAATATAGCAATCCGGTTGTTACAATGATACTATTATACATCTGATATTTGAAATATTTTACTTATTAATTAATTATAATTATGCCACTATTAATTGGGGGATTGATTAAAAGCGAAACCTTCGAAAAATAAATTATAATAATAACAGAATGAAAATATTTATCAAAATTATTTATTCTATTTATTTTTTATTTCTATTATTTATTTAATTTACACAATCATAAATAATCTAAATCATTAATCTTTTTTTTGAACTCATAATTTGCAAAAATAAAAATGATATTAAAATTTTTAATAAATTATTTCAAAATTTTATTGACCATTAAATGATAAAGATGACACAAAGTAATCGATGAAGCTGAAATTAAGGAAAAATTGTTAACAGACATTAAAATATAAGGACTATTTCGTCTGCTTAAAAATTTTGATGTTATTGTATATATATATAATATTTGTTTTTATCTAATATCTAGTACTTCGTCTATTTGAACTATTACTACTTCTACTTCATCTTCTAGTTCTATTACTTCTAAGTCAAGGTCATTTGTTTTTATCATCCTTATCTCAATCAACTTTGACTCATTATTTATTTATTTAAATCATTAAATATCCAGATGTAATACTTGATATTATTAATATTGATTAGTGAATTATAATTATTAAATCATAATTAGCAACATTAATTTAATTTTATGATTATCATCATCATCATCACCTTCATCATTGCATCATAATCATGTTAATAGTGAAGTTTCTTCTATGGCTGATATATAATTTATTACCATCATGAAGTGGACTGAAAGGTGATGGTCTAGATTCTAATTTTCGGGATATAAAATTACTGTAGAGATTCTTTCTGACATTTTATTGCAAAAAAGAATATATAAATCAGACCATATTGTGTTATCAGTATATTTGTTACTTTAATTCAAGCTGAGGTTTCTGCAACATTTTGCAAGATGTTTCAAAATTTTTAATAGTTAGTTCGATAATTACACAAATTTAGCAAATGAATATAAAATAGCCTACTAGCAATATATGTTCATGTGATGTTGTCGAACAATATATGTATAGATATATGAATTGTTTAACACTACCCGATTCATTTTCATTTTAATTCTGAATCATGTCTCAAAGAAAGACAAACGAAATAGAATGGCGATATGGATGGATAATTTAATTATTGAAGATATTTTCAAAAAAAAAAGCATGTGCAACGTGATTAATTGCTTTCTAATTTTACCATTCAAATGAACAGATTAATGTAATGCGGTGCGTTTCCAACATGTACCCGATTTAAACAATTAACTTTGTTCATAAAAAAAAGTGATTTAGCTTGACCAGACCACTTCCTATTATTTCTTATTTATTTTTAAGATCCGTAGGTTAAAACTAAAAATAAACGAGATGATATAATGAGAAAAAGGAAAAATAAGATAATATATTTCTTGTGGTTCTCCATTGATCGGTTTGGGTTTCAGTGAAATCATTGAGAATGTCATTCAGAATAACCCATCGTTTTATTAACTTTATCGTTTATTTTTTGACTCGTTAAAATAAAATAAAAAATAAAAATATTTTTAAAATTTTTTCACCAGTTATCCTAAAACTTTATTGAGCTAATTAATGATGGAAATAATGTTAAGACCATTATTAAGCCAAGTGTGTCTGTTCAGATTTTTTTATATCATTCTCAAGTAAGATATTATAAATAGTAAAAAATGCTATCGCTTATTTTTTAATTGTTATAATAATTTCATTTTATAGTTGTTTATTAGTTGTCATTTATTTTATGTAGATATATTTATGGAGGAATTCTTAATTTGGAAAATGTAGAAAAAATTCATTTTTTGACTTAATGTTAGCTGCTAATGAATTCGAATTTGAGGAATTGATCGCCAAATTCATCAAATTAGAAACTCTCCTCATTGATACTAAAGCCTCTTGGTTAAAAATATATTTCTCTTTTATTTATCCTACTATTTTTACTGAAACCAACGTTAAAAAAAATTGGAATATTTTTATAAAGATATTATTGCAAGGCATCGAAGTCTTGTTACTGAAAACTCAGATTGTGCTTCTCTTCTTGAATCTGCACTGGTGTCTTTTCTCAAGCGAGATGATTTGCAAATGGAGGAAGTTAAAATTTGGAACTATGTCATCAAATGGGGAATTTCTCAAAAACCTATTCCAAATGTTTCATCATTTAAGGCTCCGAATTAAAAATGTAAAATGTAAAAATAGAAAAGAAAAATAATAATAAACAACATAACAAATCATAAATATACCTTAACAAAATTCTCGAATTTCTCATTTCATCACATTATGCAAAGTTTTAAAGTTCTTTCACCGATTTTGTGTCACAGATGTCCTTATCTCAACTGTGGTAATATAATAATTATTAAACATCCTTAATCTCTGCTAAAGTTTTAACAAATTATAATATAATTTAATTGGCATATATACGAAGCAAAATATACTATTTTTAATCTTTTTGATGTCTGTAAATGAATTTCAAATTGAATAATTGATTATAAGAAGCCAATCTTCATGGTTAAATTAAAAATTTCAAGAATTCTAATTTAAGTTTCATTGCAACGATATAATCGCAAAACATTCTAATTTGATTTTTGAATCAAATGATTTTAATATTCTTCCAAAAGTAGCTTTGGTATCTATTATTGAAAGAGATGATTGGCTATTGAAGAGATTTGTGATTACGTAATTCAATAAAACTTTAACTTCAAACATTGGAGAGATGATTAGATTGATAAAGATTTCAAATTATGAAAAATTTTTGCAACATTGTTTATATCCCATTTGTTTTTTTAAATTTTTATAGATATTGATATGGAAAAAGTATTTCGATATTGACAAATTCTTAATAAAAAATCATGGGCTGGTATTTTAAAATATTTCATGAACCAAGTAAATCTATCACTTCAAAAACATCCCATCTCTTAATTTAATCGTTGCCCAGCTCAAAAGACATCATCAATTATTAATTTTGAACAAGCAGCTGAAATTGCATCTTGGATTAATGAGAAGAAAGTAGCGTATGATATTAATAATGATCCATAATTTTATACTTCGTGGATTTGAACCTAAGTAGTTTGGAACTTGTGTGATTTAAAAACAAATGCTGTTATTTTTGAAATAGCTAACAATACAAAATGAGATCTTTAATGGTTTTAGTTAGAATTCTAATTTTATGAAGCTAATGACGGTTTTATTTTTTTCATTGAGGATAGTAACTTCAAAAACTTTTAGTCGTGTGAAGTTTCAATTTAAGCCATTTATAATTGTTCTTCTTTGGGTCCAAATATTGGTAATGATTTATTTCATTTGTATGAAAATTATTTATGCGTCTTACTGATAGATATGAAAAAATCAATTAGAAAGACTGTTGAATATTTAATAGATGATCTTGAAGTTTTTCAAATTAGCGTTTAATATTCAACAAATATCTTGATTCAAATTTGCATCGTAAGCTGAGAATATATAATAATATTTTTCTTTGAAATTTCATTGACTTTTATTATCATTAAATTATATCGTAAATTACAATGATGCGTTTCTACTGACCGATGGTTTAGTATTTAGAAAATACATTTGGCTTAATAAGTAGAAAGAAATATCCGATTCTACGAGTATAAAATAAATAAATAAAAACTGTTGAGAGAATTTCAATCATCGATTATAGATTCAATATTATTATATATAAATTTAATGAAACAATCATTTTAAATAATATTCTTGATAAGAAACTAAAATTTAATGAAACGATTATTTAAAAATAAATAAAGAATTTTTCTTAATTACTTTAAATATTTCATACTCAACAATAGAAAAATGATCTGATGATGATCTTATAGGTTTTTCATAATTATTGGAACGAGAACTACAGTAATTCAGATGATCTAAGGTAAAATTGGCTTTTTCGCTATACAAGTAAAAATTTCCGAAACTCGGACCACCCACTTTTTGATATTTTTTTGATAATTTCCAAATCGCTTTTTCGGGTCTTTTTATTCTACTAAGAATAGAATTTTGAATGTTCCAATTTTTTAATGAGAAAATAAAACTATCATTTGTTTCCATCCAATCACCAGTAGAAGAATTATTATAAGTATTATCCCATGCTAAAGGATTATAACCTCCAAGTATCTCATCAGTCCCTTTAACTTTTACTACCACAACTGTATTCACATGACCATGGCAAATATCCCAAAATGTTTGTGGAGCAAACCCATCTCTAGTTCCACTCAAAATTAATTCAAATTTATATGGAATACTTGCGGTTGAATAAGTGGTTGTCTCACGATCAATCCAACTAGAAATTTCTGCAGCATGTTCTTCAGAAATTATTTTTGAAAAAGGATCTGCACGGGGAGGTAATTTTGTAACCAAGACGGATCTTGCTGGCAAAATAATTGATTTAACTGGTCGGTCAGGAGCTGCTTGATGCTGAATAATGTCTTTGAAAGTTGTTTGTCAAGAATCTTTTTATAGGGCATAATTTTATCAAAAAGATCAGTATTTGAAATATGAAAGTAACGAATAAGTGGTAAACATTGTTGTAAAGTGATTTTTAACGTAAGAAAGTTTTCTTTGGACCATTCTTCCAGATTTGTAGGGAGAGTAGGATTTTGAGCAATTCCCCATTTGATGAAATAATCCCAAATTTTAACTTCTTCCATTTGAAGATCATCTCGCTTGAGAAGAGATACTAATGCAGATTTTGGAAGAGTAATGAAATCTGGACTATCAAAAATAAGAATTGGATGCTTTGCAATAATATTATTACAATACTTTTCTAATTTTTTAAAGTCGTTTTCGTTAAAAATAGTACGATAAATAAGAAAAAAATAAGTTTTTACCCAAGAAGTTTTAGTTTCAATGAGGTGAGTTTCTAATATGTCAGTTAATTCATTAAGTTCAAATTTATGGGCAGCTAACATTAAATCAAAAATAAATCTTGTTTCAACGTTCTTCAAATTAACAACTCCACCATAAATATATCTATATAAAATAATAAATAAATATATAAAATGAGAACAATAATAAAAATACAAGTGTTAGACTTTTATTATTGATAAAAACTTACCTGAGAATAAAATCAAAAATTCGAGCTGATACACTTGACTTAATAATGGTCTTAATTTTATTTTCATTTGGCTGAATATTTTCTAACTCTTTACGAAAATATGGGGATCGATATTTCAATATGTTTGAATGTGCTGTAAATGATTTTTTCTTATTTTCAACTTGAATGATAACATTGTAATCATCTTTCTCATTAAGTAGCTCAATAAAGTTTTGTGACAACTTGTTAAAAGATTTTAAAAACATTTTTATTTTTGCAAATTGTGAAAGACAGAGTTATTAAATAACAAGATTTATTTAGTATTGTCGGTATGATAAGTACACAATGACAATGACATTTAGGTCACGATCAACATAATTTACCATTTAGAATATCGATTTTTATTAAATATCCATTGTTTTTTTACCATATTTGTCACCGATATTTGTCGTATCTTTCCGAATTATGAACAATAAAATTAACTAATTCAAGGTTTATTTAGTCACGAGTGATTTAGAAAAGTCAAATGATTCTATGCACGACTATAATAATCCATATGATAAAATAAATGTTCGGATTCTTTTAAATTATAATAATTTAATAAAATTTATTACCGAATTCTTTATTTATTATTCAATTAAATTTAAAGTAATTAAGCCAAATTCCAAAGGTATTCTTTTTTATAAATTATCAATTGTTTGCAATCAGTATATTATTTGAATATTATTCTCTTTATATTTTTGAATCTTTATGATATAAGGAAATTTAGAATTACACAATAGATATTACCATATACGCAGTAGTACAAAAAAGTACAATAAAATTTTAGAGTTTTCGATAATATGTAGCGTTACTTAATTTTGAATTTTGTTATATTATGAAAGATTAATTTTAAATTTGAGATTGTAATTAATGGATAATAATAACAATCAATACAATTATTATCAATTTCTTAGTATTCAAATTCCACTTAATTCTTTAGTGTTTATTTTTAGACATAAAAAATGAAATTAAAGAATTCCTACAGAAACTAGAAACCTCACTAATAATATTACAATAATGATAATCCTAAAAATAATTTAATAGCATCATCATCATCATTATATAACTCACATAATAATTCAAATTAAAAAAAATGAAAATGATAATAATTATATATCAACGTTACTATTAGACAGCATGATTATTGAGATGATGATGATGGTGATGGTGATGATGATTAAATAAGGGAATAAAAATTCAAAAATTTTATTAGGCAGCATTATCATTTGTATTTCGTTTATATATTATATTATTTGATTATGATTGGAATGAGAAATTTAATACTGTCTATTATTTGTTGTTATTATTTTCTTTTCTATTTTACATTTATAATTTAGAGTCATGGGATATCATCAAATTGTGAAACAAATGTTTGGACAGAAGGTTGTATGATCATGAACAAATGAAATTAAACAAGATATTTAAGATGCAGAATATGAAAGTAAAGATACAGTAAGTAAACTACCCCAGTATCACCAACAGATTTTCACCCCACGTTAATTTTAAAATTTTATTGGTCCATAATCTAGCAGGTTATCTGTTAAATTCATGTGACAGAAACAGGTGACAAATATGGTTTCTGAGTGTAAAAAAATTCTGTCACAAGAATATTTAATAAAAATCAATATTCGAACGGTGTGGCATAACTATACTACCCCTGATAAACCCTTGCCCTAATCATGCCTTTAGACACGTTGGGTGAAAATCTGTTGGTGATACTGGGGTAGATAGTATAAGAATGAGAGTGAACGTGATAAACATAAATATAATAATGATACTTAATAATCTATTAATACTGAGGAATCATTAATATCAGAGAAAAATATTCTTTCCAAAATAATAATAATATTGATGATGTTTAACGTAATGATGAGAATAAAAAATCTATAAATGTCAAAAATGAAATCAATATAAATTCAATAGATATATATATAATAATTACAGCACTAAATCAATAGTGAACGAATGCAAGTGAATGAATGCAATTATGAAGTTATGATGAAAGTGAAGATGAGAATACAATGAATATTCAAAACGAGTGTAAATAATATTTGAAGGATGGCGAAGGTATATTTGAGTATCTTTGATTGTCTAACATATTAATATCTAATTCATAATATACCTAATATTATGGATTATAAATAAACAAAATCTGAATTAATTTATATTTTAAATATTTGTATTTAGAATATCTAATCATAAAATATAATGTACTTAAATATTATTTTTAAATATTAATTTAAATGAGTTCCTTGATTTCACTCAATTACAATGATATTTATAAACGTACATATTATATAAAATAATTATAAAAATATATTTAAATATTTAAAAATCAGGAATACAAAATTCAGGCGCAGCTAAATAAAGATAAAATAAATTATAATTATTATTTTTTAATTATAAAAAATTAAATATACAAGAATATAATATATAATTGATGCTTACCAATACTTAAGGCATAAGTAGATTTTGTTAATTCAAGTTCTTTTTCAAAATTTTCTCCATTCTTAGGTTTTGGAAGATTTGAATAATAGAAAAGTTAACTGGTCTGTCAGGAGCTACTTGATGCTGAATAATTTTTTTGTAAAGTTGTTTGTCAAGAATCTTTTTATAGGAAATAATTTTATCAAAATTTCAGCATTTGACTTTCAACGTAAGAAAATCTTCCTTGGCTATTCTTCAAGGTTTGTTAGGAGAGTAGGATTTTGAGAAATTCCCCATTTGTAAATCGTCTCGCTTAAAAGGAGATACTGATGCAGATTTGGGAAGAGAGATTTAATCTGAACTATCGAAAATAAGACTTGGATGCTTTGCAAAAATATTATTCAATAATTTTATAATTTTTTAAACCTTTTTTTCGTTAAATATAGAACGATAAATAACAGAAAGTAAGTTTTTAACTAAGAAGCTTTAGTATAAATGAGAAGAGTTTCTAATATGTCAGTTAATTCATTAAGTTAGAATTTATGGCAGCTAACATTAAACCAAAAATGAATCTTGTTTCAACGTTCTTCAAATTAACAATCCACCATAAATATATCTACATAAAATAATAAATAAATATATAAAATGAGAACAATAATAAAAATACAAGTGTTAGACTTTTATTATTGGTAAACACTTACTTGAGAATAATATCAAAAATTTGAGCTGATACACTTGACTTAATAATGGTCTTAATATTATTTTCATTTGGCTGAATATTTTCCAACTCTTTACGAAAATATGAGGATCGATTTCAATATGCTTGAATGCTCTGTAAATGATTTTTCGTTATTTTCAACTTTAATGATTACATTGTAATCATCATTCTCATTAAGTATTCCATAAAATTTTGTGATAACTTGCTAAAAAATTTTAAAGACATTTTTATTTTTGAAAGTCAAGGTAATTATGATTTTTCTTTTACAAAAAATCAATTTTTTGCAATTTGTATATTATTATCTTTAAATTATTGAGTCTTAAAAATTATAAAATATGTAATGCCATAAACGATAGCAGTACAAGAAAGTATAAAATTAGAGACAGTGATAACGACACAATAAGGGATATTGATAACAATCAATATAATTAATATTACTTTCCTAGTATTCAAAATCTTCTTAATTCGTTGGGTTTATTTTTAAACAAAAAATGAAATTAATGAGCTCCTACAGAAATCAACAACCCACCAATTACATTACAATAATGATAATGTTAAAATTAATTTAATAGCACCATCATAATGTAACTTACATAATAATTCAAATTACGAAAATAAACGTCAATATTTTACGAACATGATTGTTTGATGAATAAATAAGGAATGAAATTCGAGAATTTTATTAGGTGTCATTGTGATTTGTATATCATGGAAATGAGAAATTCAATAAGGTTTATTGTTGCAATTTATTATTTTTCCTTTCTATTTTACATTTTTAATTCAGAGTCTTGGAGAGTTATTAAATGATGAAATGAAGGTTGTATGATCATGAACAAATGAAATTGAACAAGATGTAGATGATTAAGTTGCAGAATATGAAGGAAAAAGTGATGAAGATGGATATAGACGTGAGCAAAGTGAATACGATATGATGATGATGCTTAAAAGGACAATCTATTGAAACTTCAGAATATTAAATAATAATGATATCGATGATGATGATGAACGTGATATGAAGATGAGCGCAGTGATGAAAATAGAAAAATCTGTGGATGTCAAATAAAATCAATAGAAATACAATAGAGAGATATATAATAATGACAATAACAAATGCAAGTGAATAATGTAAGCGTGTAAGGTGAGGCGATAATGAAAGTGAAGATGAGAATACAATGGATATGGTGAAAGAGTACAAATAATATATAAAGGATGGTGAAGGTATATTTGATTATCTTTGATATCTGACATATTAATATTTAATTCATAATATGTCTAATATGATGTGGGTCAATTACAACAAATATTCAAGGAAAGGAAGTTCTTAGTAAAATGAAAAAAAAGACAAATAAAACAACAAAATAAATCAGGAACGAGTATGGAAAATGCGAGCGGATGTCCAAGATGGTCAACAACAATTTATGGAACTAGTCTTTATGAGTTAGATACAACCAGAAGAACACTAAAGTCAAAGGCAACGAGCAGTCTGGCCACAAGAAACATTATTGCAAATACTTATGGTCAAAAAGCTAGTACAATAGCAGGCACAAGCAATTTGAACAAAGAAACAAAAACCATAGAGACAAATTCAAATAACATGGAGTTATTGCCAGTGGAAGAAAATTTATTATTAAATCAAGATAATATAGGCGAAGAAAATACAGATAATAATATGAAGGCAATTAATAATACAAAAAAGATGATAAAGGTAAAGGGAAAGAGATTATCACTGAGACAGAGAAAGAAAATAATGAAACAAATGAGCAAAATATTGCAAACACAGAAACAGATGATAATGAATCAGTAAACTCAGAAGATAGTTTCTCAAGTGTACATGAGGAATGGAGAAAAAAAATTAATTTACAAAAGTATAAAGTATGGATTAAAACAGGAGAAGTTTACAGAAAAAACTTAAAAGACAAAATTGATATGATAGCAAATTTATTAAATAAAAATGAGATTAATATTATTACAATCAAAACTGAAAAAAATTTGGAAGATAAAAAACTATATGTTGTAATATATCTGGAAAAAAAGGAAGATATGGAAAAGGCATGTAAACTCAAAATTGAAGGAACACAATTAAATGATAGGTCAACTCTAACAAGAGCAGCAATAAACCAAAAATAAAAAAACAAATAATGAAAAAAGAATTAAGTTCTGGGAAATATCAATTGGTATACAGGAACAAGAATTTAAAAGTATTATAAAAATTAAATTGGGAAATGTAACCCCATGCAGTATGAGTACAAGAGGATTGTGGTCATCTGCAATAGTACAATTTAAGAAAGAAGAAAAGCTGAAAATCTATTAATGGAATGGTCACAAATTATTGGGAAAGAATCATGCAGAGTAACATTGCTCACAGTAATTTTACAGAACTCAAGGAAAGAAGTAAATACACAGTAAAGATCATCAATTTACAACCTGATATTACAGCATAATATAATAAGTCCTTTGGGTGCCAAAACATGTTATTTTCCACAAGAATTTATATGGAAAGAAGAAAGAAATGGCCATAGCATCTTTTGAGAGTCAAGAAGGAAAAGACCAAGTTATAAATTTTGAATAGATTGCAGGAGAATATGGAGTTAAAATAGTGAATACAGTTTTGAAAATATGTCACAGATGTTATGTGGAAGATTATCCTGTGATTAATTGTCCTGTGGCAAAAAAACAAAGGGAAATTAGTGAAAGAAAAGTAAGAGATTTTGAAAATCATGGGCAATTATATAAAAGACAAAGGCCACAACTATATAAATCTATAATGGGAGTAATTAACATGGTAACAAGTTACTCAGATGCTTTTAAAAATAATATAAATAGAAAAGTTAAAAATAATATAATCAAAAAGAATGATACAACAAATGAAAATATTATGAACATGTTATTAGAAATCTGGCAAGATATAAAAGAGATCAAGAAACAGGTGAAAGATATAGATGAAAGATTGGAATTAGTGGAAACTTATTGTGCTTATGAAATATTAAATAATGAAGAAGTGGAAATCAGTGATGATGAAAATGAAGAAATGAATGAAAAAGAAATCAAAGGCACAAACAACTAATAATAAAAAAGGGGAAGAAATGGAGAAAACAATAAATTATATCTATGATATAGTTAAAACTCTGTTAGAAGAAAATATTATATTATGATAAACAATCATAAAAATATAAACATTAATAATAATAATATAATAGAAAACAAACAAAATACTAATATAATTAATAACATTAACATTAAAAACAATAATAACAATCCTTTCTTAAATAATAATAATAATTTAGAAAATATTAAAAAAAAATTCAAAAAAAATTTTAAAAACGAAGAAAAAATTAAAAACATAAATAAAACTAAAAATATAAATAATGGGCTAATAAATAGTAATAATTATGTATTAAATATGAATCAAAATAATGATAGTGTCATAATAGATAAGAATATAAATCAGAATGATTTAAAAATTTTAAAAATAGCTACTCAGAATATAGGAGAAATAGCAAACATTACAAAGCAAATAGATTGGTTGAAATTCTGTGAAGATAAAGACTTAGATATAATTGGACTAACAGAAACCTGCACAAAAGATGAAAATTGTAAATATATATTCAAAAAGGATACAATAAAAGAAATACAAAAGAAAGATAAAAATGTCAATGAATACAAATATTTTTGGGCAAATGGACAACAAACAAATGGTTCAGGAGTCGGAATCATGATAAATAAAACATGGGCAAACATGTTTATAAGATAAATAAATATCAAGGCAATGTGATCTCTATAAAATTGTCATTCAAGAAAAAATAAAATTACAAATAATAGTAGTATATTATCCAACAAGTGCAAACCAAAAGAAGCTAAGAACTCATGTAACAAAATGGATAATACAAGAGTTAAACAATTATATAGTTAAGGACAGGCATTATGCAATAGTGATGGGAGATTTTAATGCCACATTTAATTCTAAAATTG